AGGAGTTTGGAGGGAGCAAACGCAATGTAGACACGGAGATTTTTGGCGTGGTTTCGATAGGTGGTGCTATCGTACATCCATGTTGATGGAGACTTCAACCCACGAAGGGTAACGGTTGCGCGAGTCCACGGAGGGCTCTACCCACAAAGGGTCCACGAAGAAGCAACCTTGTCTATCCCACCATGGCCATCGCCCACGAAGGACTTGCCTCACTAGGGTAGATCTTCACGAAGTAGGCGATCTCCTTGCCCGTACAAACTCCTTGGTTCAACTCCACAATCTTGACGGAGGCTCCCAAGTGACACCTAACCAATCTAGGAGACACCACTCTCCAAAAGGTAACAAATGGTGTGTTGATGATGAACTCCTTGCTCTTGTGCTTCAAATGATAGTCTCCCCAACACTCAACTCTCTCTCATAGGATAGGATTTGGTGGACAGATGATTTGAGTGGAAAGCAACTTGGGAAGGCTAGAGATCAAGATTTATGTGTTTGGAATCAAGTATCTTGACCTCAACACAAGTGTAGGTGGTTCTCTCTCAAAAAATGTATGTTGGAAGTGTAGGCATGTTCTGACGGCTCTCTCATCTAATGAAGAGTGGGTGGAGGGGTATATATAGCCTCCACACAAAATCTAACCGTTATACACAAATCACCAAACTCGGTGGGACCGAATCATACAACTCGGTCAGACCGATTTAGTTCATAATGTGACCATTAGGGTTTTCGGTGGGACCGACAAGTCAACTCGGTGAGACTGATTTCGTTAGGGTTAGGGCATAACGTAATCTCGATGAAACCGATTACACAAACTTGGTGGGACCGATTTTGGTAATAGACAAACAAAGAGTTGGTCAGGCAAACTCGGTGGGACCGATTCGCTCATCTCGGTTGTACCGAAACGTTACGAGAGGGAAACAGAGAGTTTGCATTGCAATCTCGGTGGGACCGATCGCTCATCTCGGTTTGACCGAAACATTACGAAGGGAAACAAAGAGTTTGCAATCCCATCTCGGTGAGACCGAGATCCCTATCGGTAGGACCGAAAAGACTAGGGTTTGTGGCAGTGGCTATGTCAACTAAACTCGGTGACACCGGATAGATAAAATCGGTGGGGCCGAGTTTGACTTTTGGTTTGGGACATATTTGTGGATGTGAGAAAATAGTTAAGGGTTTTTGGAGCATATCACTAAGCACTTTGAGCAAGAAACTCATTAAGCAACACCTCATCCCCTCTTAATAGTATTGGCTTTTCCTATGGACTCAATGTGATCTTGGATCACTTAAAATAAAAATGTAGAGTCCTGAGCTTTGAGCTTGGGCCAATCCTTTGTCCTTAGCATTTTGAGGGATCCACTTTCTAATCCATGTCACGCCATTCATTGAGCTTTTCCTGAAATATTTATCTTCAAGTAGCATTAGCTCAATGAGCTATATGTTGTTAGGAATTACCAAAACCACCCGGGGATAGTTGCACTTTCACAAACCTATTACTCCAGTGTCTAGTGTCAGTAGTTATTTTATGCATGATTTTTGAATTTTTAGAAAAACATTGTATTAGTGACCAAAAAAATGAAGGAAAATACGAGATGATGTTTCAAGTGAAGAGCCAGGAACACCAGAGGTCACCAGGTGGCGCCTCTGGGTCACGAGGTGGCGCCATGTGGGCCTTGGTCCTCCTTTCCACCACCCCCTGATGCCTCTATCTTTATAGTGATCTAAAAATCCCTACCAATCTGGTGGCCTCTTTCGTTAGTATGTCGAAAGGGGAATCATTGTCAACGCTATCTTCACCAACATTGCTTCCACCATCTCCATTTGTGGGTAGTCCTTCTTGGACAATGGGTTTGTAAAAGTAGTTAACTGGCATCCTCTCTCCCATGTTTCTCAGTAAAAAGATCACATCAAATGTCCTACATGTCCTACATGATTGTGATCCATGTAATTATTGGTGTGTTTTATTGCAGCGTGATGAATTTTCACTTTATGATCAAATTATATTTGATTTTTTTGGGGATTATTCATATGAGGTCTTCGATACATGGTTTATATACATATATGCTCTCTAATCTATTATTATTATTATTATTATTATTATTATTATTATTATTATTATTATTATTATTATTATTATTATTACACTAGCCATATTTAGATGATTGATCTCCAATAGAGAGTTGTGTATGTTAGTTGGGTTTAACCTTGAAAGTAATTTGTTTCAGTGATAGAAAGAGAAAAGGTGTGTATTGTGTTATGCCACTAAGGATAAAAATATAGTTCCCTAGTTGTCTCGGTGATGAACTGGAGGTAAAGATAATATACTATCAACATTATGTCACTTTGCTTAATGCAATGCTATGTTTTTTTTTTACTTAATTGCAATTTGGGGGTAAACGGTGTCCTAGATTGTGTCCTCTGTGTTGCTCATTACAATTAAAAATTATCACTTTATGGTGCATTAAGCTAGTACCTATGTTCTGAACTTCTGATCAAGGCATCGGCGAAATCAATAATGGCCCACATTTTCTTGCTTAATTTTGATAGCAATGTTATGGATAAAAGATAGATAAATAACTACAATTTCAATAAAGGTATGTTTTGCTAGTTGGTAGTTTGTGATCCATTGGCCATGATTGATTTTTTTTGCTTAACAATCTTCTACATTTGAAGGGGGGTAACTTCCAACTATTTTTGTTAGGACCAAAGTAAGAACAATTAAAGGTTCCACTTTTATGCTAAAGATACCTTTCACCGGAGGAACGACTGTCTATCACCATGAATGGAAACATGCACCTATCACTTGGAAATATCAGGGCGCTTCATCTAGCAAATTTTTGCGTAATTTCTTGTGTTTTCCCCAGTATATTTCTAACATGATTGCTGAGTAATGCTATGTGACCCTTCCCAAACTTTGAAACTTTCAGGTACTATCACAATATGTGTGGTGTGCTTGCAAGGCATAATTCGAATATCAACTTATGTCTTCTCTTTCAATGAAAATAGATGTGTTGATTTTTGTTAGAATTATGTCGAATATTATTGTACAAGGTAGGTTACAGTTGGACTTGGTTTGGACTGTGTGTAGACAGGGTAGGAGTTGTGTCCTAATAGGACACTTGTATCCTAGGCCTCTCATATATATCGAGGATAGACACACGATGTAACCTATGCCAACATAATAGCACAGGCGCGCAAGGGGAGCCGGCGGCGTGTGCCGGCGCCCGGGTGGCCGGTGTGCGGTATTGTGACGGTGTCACGGGGAGGAGCCCCCGTAGTCAAGCCCCGGGGATGTAGCCATATCGGTGAACCTCGCTAACAAATCTCGGTGTCGTGCTCGTGTGATTGCTTGGTCCTTGGATGATCAACGGTATGCCTCGAATTTATTCTAACAATTTTTGCAATCTCATATCTAAAGTATGAGCATCAAACTTTCAGTGAACTACAATTCATCATCTTCTCGATCATATAAGTATTTGCTAGTGTTTGCCCATCACAATGGATTGTGCGGCGACCTAGCACACCACACTGCAAAGACTAAACTCTCCTTATTAGCATCGTTCTCACGGACGATATTACATCGATAGGAAAAATTATTTGTGTCCAATGCTAGCTTCATAGCGAATCAAATACTCCCTCCATCTCAGTTTACAAGTCTTGCATGTCTATATAGGTCGTTAATTTGGCCAACTTAATGAAAGGCATGCACTAGAAAAAATATATCATTAGAAACTTTAGATATTATATTTGCTAATGATATAATTTTTATGTTGAACAATTTATTTTACATAAGTTAAACTGATGACCTAGATACACGTGCAAGTCTTGTAAACCGAGATGAAGGTAGTATGGTTCATTGGGGTAATTAATGCCCCAGACGGTGACCTGCCAAAAAGAAACACCAACTACTTACTTACATAGTACTATGACAGGGCAAACTCAGAGCCTCACAAACAATGTATTGGTTATTTCTAATGAATAAAGTTTCGTTTTATTTCAAAAAAAATGACAGGGCAAACTCAGCGTCTCAGCCATGACCTACCTAGCTTTTTGTGTGGTGTCCGGGCATGGATCCACACATCGCTAGTTGAAACACACAGACTAACCCAGAAAATGAACATGCGCGAATCTTCAAGGGCCCAAAAATCGACTGACCCTGAAATTAAGTTGGTGGCGACTTACATGTAGCTAAAGTCAGAAGAAAATATTCATCGCACTAAGTCTTTTTATTTCAAGAAAAAAAACCTTTGGATATCACGGCTTCAGGAAATACCACCAAGTGATCTCCCCGTCGCATCAAAGTAGCATTCTTTTCCTCGTTTCTGTCCATCTCCACTATTCAAAGCTCTGTGCATAAGTCTAAAGTGTTGAAAGTCGAAATCAAGAAGCAGAAACGCCAAAACACCCGCAAAGCCAACCAGCCACGGGCTAATTGGTAAATTGTCCACACCATCTTAATGCCACGTATGCATCTCATTACAATGAAATGTTTTTTTTTTCAATGAAATGTTAGATTGACAAGCGATTTTCTAACAACCTAATTGATTCGATTTCTCCATTGTGTTGTATCCGATGTTGTGTTGATCTGCAGACGATACCTGATCATACGCCACATCTTAGCTTGCCACTTGGATAAAGTGGCCCCGTTCCCTATTTCAAAAAAAAAAGTGCTGGGAATAATAACATTTTTTTAGTATCTTTGCTTAGCGAGCCAAAAGTCCACCGGGAAAAGACCGCCCTACCCCCGGGGGCCCAAAATATCAAAATTCCCTGGCCGGTGGCGCACACACGAAGCCTGACCATTTCCATTTCTGCCCCCAGCTCTTCCTCCCTCGCGCCCACCACGACGGCGTTCCCCTCCGCCGCCGCCGGCGCCCTGACCGCCGTGTCCCTGGCCCGCAGCCGCAGGCCGTCCTCTCCTCCTCCTCCTCGCGCCCTCGCCTCGTTCCCCCGGTTCGCCCACCTACCAACCCGGGCCCCGATCCGCGCGGAGGGGGGAGGAAATGGCGGTGGTCCTCGCGTGGCTCAACGCCAGGGTCGTCGACCCCCTGCTGCAGGTCATCCAGAGGTGAGGCCCCAGGCGCCCGGCTCTAGTTTCTGTTTCATCTGGTCGCCGGTTTCATCGCTTCTGCTTTGGTGGTTGGCCGGTGCTGCAGGGGCGCGGAGCCGAAGCAGCTGGCCTTCTCCGCCGCGCTCGGCGTCACCATCGGGGTCTTCCCCATCTGCGGTACGTTGCTGGCAGGCGCTGAATCCCCTACCTCTCGTCGACCAAAATTTGTCTGCGGTTAACCGAGTCTAGATTCGATTGCTCCATACGCATGGCGTGTCGGCGCAGCAATACAGTACAGTACAATAGGATCCGATGTGTGCGTGTGCGGCCATAGTTGAGGAGAACACGGCTCAGTACCTGGGAAACACACGGGCGCACGCCACCATGCTCTAAGCCGTTCATTTACATCTCCAAGACTCCAAGTGATGGTTCTCCATTCAGATGTATTCAGCGTTTTGCCTGTTGTGGTCTCATAACTGAATCGTGTGCATCCTGTCTACCTGCCCTCTTGTCGTCAACATACTTGGGTTTAAGATTTTACAGAGCTGAATTTTCACACAGAAAACACCTGACAAATTACATCTAGTGGCTTAGGAAAATCCTTTTGAAAGTTGCTGAGTTTCAGCGTTAGGCTGGTGGTTGCTGTGTGACGTGCAGTTATTGTACGTCTTTCAATTATATTGCTAGTCTTTCATAATATTTCTCAAAGCAACTTGATGTGAACTTGGCCTTTGATGATTGCAGGGACCACGGTTATTATCGGTGGACTTGCTGTGGCGATGTTAGGAGCTCGTTGCAATGCCGTTACTGTCATGGTTCTCAATTTAGCTGCTACTCCTCTTGAGCTAAGGTAAACACATGCTCAGCATTAAATACAGTAAATCAAATTCCATTTTATGGGTTCTTTTATAAGAATAGTTACTGGTTCTTTGTCTAACTTTATATCTGGAAATAGTTGTTGGTTCTATGTCAATTGTCAAACTTTAATTATATGATCAGTTGTTGATTCCATACCAAGCTTTATGTATAGGAATAGTTGTTTGTCCCAAAAGATACAGACTTAAGCTCTGTACCACTAAACTATGCTGTTTCACTTAAATACCACTCAAACTTTGTTCTGTCATTTTCATCCACTTAAGGCCAATTTTTTGTTCTCTGTGCTATCATTTACCCTTTTTAAAAACAAATCGCATTCAATTACCTTATATATAAAAGTGATGGTGTACAAGACTCCACATAGCTCAAGCTGTGCTCACAAGTCATAACAGGGCAAATTCTTCTGCTCATAAGTCTCAGGTTCCTTGTTCATAGGACTTACTTTTATTATAAGTAACATGCATTAGAGTGCTGATATCCCAAATCCGCTTTGTCTATTATGCTACTTGAAAAAAAGTGGCTGGTGTTAATGCATATGCTGTCACTAGTTGCCAGGTATGATGGTCTTGTAAAAACAGATATCCTTTTCATGACTTGTTTAATGCTGAACAAAGATCTTCAGTAGACTAATGTATTTCCTTAGTTTGGCTTTACAGTTGCATTGTGATAGACGTTTCAATCTAAATGATTATATATAATTGGGGGTAAATATCATGCCAAAATGGGCTATTTTGTAAGGAAACAGTGGGAGGCCCTGCTCTATATCTCCAGGGACTTGTTTCTTTTTTAGCAGGGTTTGATCTTTGAAATTTTGCACGGCATACAACTTGCACCCTCCTCTGTTAATATTTATTTAAAAATTTGGAAAGTTTGTTCCGAATGGTCACTGATTTGTTGCATTTTCACTCCCGTTGTAGCTAGTGCAGCAATTTTAAGCTATGAGCAATCATGTTTTAATTTATTTAGAGCTACCAATGAACTTTCATTTCACCGGATCCTCCCTATCTTGTTTCAATGCATTTGGCAGTGTCGTTTCCTGATTATGTTTTCCTCAGCTTGATCATTCCTTTCTTACGTTTGGGAGAAATAGTCACGGGCGGTGAGCACTTCCCCTTGACATCTGATGCATTCAAGATGGTCCTCACAGGCCACGCCTCAAAGGACGTGCTACTCAGCATTTTTCACGCGGTTAGTAAAATTGCTTCAGCCATCAAGTTTATCTCATCCATAAGAAATGAACATTGTGTCGTCTTGTTCTCTGAAAACAGTACCATGACTGTTGCCGTTGTTGAATGAATACAGATTCTTGGCTGGATGGTTGCTGCACCGTTTGTGATGGCTGGGCTGTACACCTTGTCCGTCCCTTGTTTCAAGTACCTGGTCGGCAGGTTTGGCGTCATCCCTTCGAGCCCCAGGACGCCGATGAAAGCGGTATAATGTAGCTGTTTCCCCCTAAAGCAACTTTATTACGTTTCTGAAGCCGTGTGCGTGAATTCCTTATATTGCCCGATTGAGATGGCCCGGCCGTCCTAACTTCTGAACTCCGGCGCATAAATAGGCTTGCAGAGGCATATACTCGTTGAGCTGAGGTGGTGTAATTCTCAATATATTTTTAAGTTGTAGCAAATCTTTCCCTTTTTTTCTTCTTCTTACGAACAAGTGTGCGACCCGATTCACCTGTTTCAAAACTGATGATATTTATTCATTCATTACTTTGGAAACTATGGCCTGTTCATTCCGTTTGAGACATGTTTCTGTTTATCTCTCCTAGGTTTTGCTTTGCCCAAATGAATCCGAATCCGAATCCGAAAATGGGGCAGTACCATTGCTCGTCCACGCCGACTGATCTTGTGGTGCGTGTCATCTGGACATCATCAGCCATTCTCACCTGCATTTGTGTCTCATGGCACCATGTTATGTAAACTGTGGGCATGTTGTGTTGTCTTCTTATCTGATTGTATTGTGTTAACTGCTGTTATGTGCTCCCGTTAGGGGCTGCTCGCGTAGCTGTAGGCTGATATGTATGTATATATAAAGGTAACGAGTGTTGTGTATGATGCTATCTCTAATACGTACGATACAGCAACATGGAACATCTGCAATGCACAGGAGTTTGGACGAGCCTGACTTGCGTCTCTGAAGCTGTTCCATGTTGCACGCTATTCTGGAGCAATAACCACGCCATGACTACATTGTGCATTCTGGAGCAACAACCATGCTTTGAGAGCTCGTGCTTCATCGGTTGGTCGGTTCTTCGAAAACATGTAAATCCTCTGAGCAACTCGCCGTTAAGAAAGTCATTCTGCATAAGTATGTGAGATAGAATGCCATAGGAAGAAGATGGTGAACAGTGGTCAATTATAACACTCAAAATAATGGAGGTCTTCTGGGCCTTATGGACGGTTTGATCATGAGGCTAGATTCTCCTGCTCCCATATCATGAGCAACAGTTTTAAGCCTTTTTAGAGATTTCAATATGGATTACATATGGAGCAAAATGAGTGAATCTACACTCTAAAATATTGTCTATATACATCCATATGTAGTCCATAATGAAATCTACACTCTAAAATATGTCTATATACTACATATTGCTTTCATTTCACATGAAGATTGTTTCTCAAACTCTCCTGCAAAGTAATTCCATGATGGAAATCATTTAACTTTTATCACCTCCAACTTCTCATTGTGCAGTAAACTTGCACTAAAGCAAGAAAGAACAAATAATTTGGCCACAAATTACAGAGCCCAAATGCAAAACCTCATTTGAACATGCTGCAGCAAACTTGCTCCAAGAGCTTTTCTTCAGCTGCCTCTTCTCACTTTGTCAGCAAAGGGCATTAGGAGTGGGTGGGTGCAACAAAAATCATCTATTCCATAGCACATACTGATCTGAAATATATATAGCAACATGGACATACATACAAGACTAGTGTTGGTTTACTTGTTGATCCAAAATCATGTAGTCCGATCGCCGACCAACAACACACGATCCCCATATCAAACACACGACCATCGGTCGATTCATACCAATAAGGTATTAATTTGTGCATCAAGAAGCGCTAGTTTTTTGAACAGATAGTGGCTACGACGACATTACGCATTCGAAACATAACTGAAGAAATAGCTATGAGGAGGGGAGGGGAGAGTCTCTATTGCTACCAGTACCAAGTACCAACAGATATCTTGATACAGCTTATGCGCTAAGAGCATGTATGCCTGTCGACACATATATAATAGGGTTCAGGAACCATATTCGATCGATCACCAGTAGTCGCCGCACGAGCACTTGCCCTCCTTGAAATGGTGGAACCGCTTGTTGTCCCTCACGATGAGCTCCCGCCCCACGATCCTCGACATGATCTTGATGGCGTTGTGGCAGTCCCCGCAGATCCTGAGGTTCTTGATGATGCGCAGCGGGGTCCTGGCCGGGGTGCTGATCAGGCCGTAGGCGATGGCCAGCCGCTCGCTGTGGTACAGCAGCGCCTGCTCCTTGGCCTCCTGGTCAATGTCGTGGAGCACGTACCTCGTGTCGGGGACGTAGCGCTGCTCGTTCACCACCTTCTTCTCGATCTTGGGCGGCAGCCTGTACTCCCCCAGCTTGTTCCTCCCGTCAAGCATGTTGATCCCAAGCCGCCGCTTCGGGGGAGGGGTCGGGAGCTTCTTGGGGTTGGCCTTGGAGGGGTCGAGCGAGACCAGCAGCTCCTCCGCCCGGTCCTCGAGGTCAATGTCGCCGTTCATGCGCGCCAGGTTCAGGAGCGACTCCCAGATCATGGCATTGGGCTCGAACGGCAGCTTCTCGATGTACTCCACGGCCTCGTTGAGGTGCCCCGACTTGCCCAGGACCTCGATGATCCCGACGTAGTGCTCCATCCCGGGCTCGATGCCGTGGTCCCTGGACATGGCGTCGAAGTAGAGGAAGGCCTCCTCGATGGCCTCCGAGTTGGCGCACGCGTCGAGCACGAGCACGAAGGTGCGCGCGGTGGGCGCCATGCCGCACCGCTTCATCTCCTCGAAGAGCTGCAGCGCGGCGTCCCCGAGCCCGTTGGCGGCGTAGCCCTCGATCATGAGGTGCCAGGAGGCCATGTCCCGGTCGGGCATGTGGTCGAACGTCCTGCGGGCGTGCGTCATGTTGCCGCACCGGCCGTACATCTCGAGGAACCGGTTGTTGACCTGGAGGTCAGCCCGGAAGGGCGAGCGGAGCAGGTAGTCGTGCACCTTGCGGAGCTCCTCCAGCAGCTTGGGCGTGGAGCAGGCGCCGGCGAGCTCGTAGAAGGACGCGGCGTCGGCGCGCGCCCCCTTCTCGAGCAGCTCCACCGCCTCCTTGGCCCGCCCCTCCCTGCACAGCGCGATCAGCTTCTCCGGCTCCGCCGCGGGCTCGGGCGCTGGCGGTGGCCCCTGCTGATGCTGATGCTGCTGCTGGAGGTAACTGCTCTTCGGCGGGGGAGGGCCCTGCTGCTGCTGGCGCTGCGGGGACGGGGCGGGAGGCGGCGGCCCGTAGCCGTAGCCGTGGCGCGGCGGGGGAGGGGGAGGCCCCTGCCGCTGCTGCTGCTGCTGCTGCGGGTAGTGATTGCTCCACGGCGGGATAGGATCCAGCTGCTGCTGCTGCTGGGGCCGGGGCGGAGCCGGAGGAGGCGGCCCGTAGCCGTGGCGAGGCGGGTAGTCGCTCCTCGGCGGGGGAGGAGGAGGAGGCCCCTGCCGCTGCGGCTGGTAGTCGTTCCGCGGCGGGG